TTTTTTTTTTTTTTTTTTTTTTTTTTTTTTTTTTTTTTTTTTTTTTTTTTTTGTTGTTGTTGTTGTTGTTGTTGTTGTTGTTGTTTTTTTGTTTCTGTGATGTCCTACTGGTTGTCCGAGGCTCGGCCATAAAGTCCGAGGCTAGGGAATCATCAGGCTACCGGTAGTTCGAGCTTTGGACTCTATAGCTGAGCGAGGTACTGGTGGTTTAAAAGCAGGTTTCCTTGGGTGGCTGGAATCATGACTTCTTCATAAATCTTTAGAAACAAACAGTACTATCAGAATTACCTTCTCAAACCTTGCTAGAATCAGTCCAGCAGATTTGCAGGACAGAAAGGTGAGGCTAGAGTTTCAAGTTACATATGGCGCCGTGCTAAGGGTGATGAGGTATCCCCCACCCTAGAATGTTTCTCTATATCTTTTCTCTCATGAAAGGGACGCTGGACCCGGTTTCCAGCACGTGAAGCTCCCCACCAATAGACTGGAGCCATCTGAAGGTATCACTAGCTGCAGATGCTCATATCACTGCAGCTAGACTAAGTGCAGAAAAAAAAGAAAAAAAACTGTACAAATCACCCAGCAGTCTCGTGACCACCCCATAGACCAAGAACATCAGGACACCCCACCCTTGCCCAGTTCCTGCATACAACACCGTGACTGATTTTTTTTGGGGCCCCCTCTTCGGAAGTTGGTACCCTGACATCATGCACGTGCTTTATAAATGATTATAAAGCACCCCCTGCGTTCTATTCAATAGACTGTAGATGCTTCGACATGTGGGACCTGCCCATGGTGTAACCTACCTGGACTGCTCGGCGGGGTTGATGCATTGAGGCATCACCTCCACTCTCGCCGGGGAGCGTGCGTCACCTCCATCCTGTTCGTCTCGGCGGCGAGGGACGCAGGTGAGATGCGTAGCGACGCGGGTACTGGAGCGCTCTCTACCCACACGGTACCTTCGTGGGGAGACGGGTAGCAATGCGGGCATTTGTTTCCATTTCTTCTTTGCTGTTCGCAGCCAAAGGCTGCGTCTTGCCCCGTTGCACTTTGTCGTGTAGCGGGGCATCCTTTTGTGGAAATGTCGACGAGTCCTAACGGGGTTTATGGGGCATCAACAAGGTGCACGGTCAGGGGCAGGGCACCGGTCGCCGAAACGGTCGGCTCAGAGGTTGGAGCGGGCGACCAAGGGCAGGTTGCATAGGTCGTTGTTTGGCCATGGTGGCCGTCGCCCGGCCTTTCCTTTTTTCGGGTGGACATTTTTCTTCTCTTTCGTTTTGGCCTTAGTTTTCGAGTGGGCGTTTTTTTTTTCGGGGGTTGTTTTGGGGCAGGCGGGGTCTAATAAGTGACGGAAGGGCAGGCGGGGTCTAATAAGTGACGGAAGGGCAGGCGGGGTCTAATAAGTGACGGAAGGGACGGCCAAACGCCCTCGCTCCATCGCACCACTCACGGACTGTGCAAATGGTGAATGAATGTTTGACCTTCGTTTTAGAGTGGCCGTTTTTTTTTTCGGGGGTTGTTTTGGGGCAGGCGGGGTCTAATAAGTGACGGAAGGGACGGCCAAACGCCCTCGCT